TTAGTTGTTATACAAATTTGGGAGTAATTTGGAATTTTAAACCAATGGCAATTTTATAATTCTAGTGAACAGTGTTCACCGCCTAAGCTACATGGCCGGCGACCTTCTTCGGCGTTCCTGGCGCATCGTGGCCGTCTGTGGCGTCGCGCTGGCGCGGGAAAAGGCTCCATCGTGGCTAGCTCTGGCTTCCTAGCCGTCTTTTAAAAGTCGTGACGCTGTCGTCGTCGTTCTTCTCTTTCCCTCTGTTTTCGCCGCCGCCGTTGCCATAGCTCCGTTGCGCTTTTGCCGTCGCCGTAGCGCCTTCCAATCCTCCGTAACGCTTGCCACAGCTCCGCTGGTTTCTTGCGCACTCAGCCGAACCATCCTTGACGCTTGCCTCCACCGAGAACCCGCTGTCCACGCCTTTCTTCCTCGTGGCCGGCAACCTCACCGTCGCGGGCGTGTCATCATGGCCAGAGCTCTCCGGTGAGCTTTTGCTTCTGCTCAGCGTAGCTCCAGCTCCGTCTTGTTCCCGTGATGCTCTATAACCGGTTGATTGCTCGTTTTGTCCATCACAGTCACCGAAAAATCGCCGTCACCGTCGCTTGCGCCGTCGGGATCACTGTGAACGTCGACCTACGTATCCGTAGCTTCTCCGACCTCGTTCTTTGCTCCATCACGTTCAGGGTGAGCTACTGATCCTTCCTGTGCCGTTTATTTAACCGCTACCGGTCTCCTGTCGCTGGCGTAGCGTAGCCGTGCCACCACATCCGCCATGGCCGGCGTGAAGCTTGAACCTTGTCGTAATTAGTCGAACTGGTGCCCCATATCGTTGCGCCTTGTTGTGGTGATCACCGTGGTGCCCTAGTCTTCGCCGTTGGTCTCGCCGTTGGCGAGTTATCGCCGGTCAGCGCGCGTGTCGCCGGAGTCAAAGCCGGAGGTTGAAGATGACATGTGGGGTCACCCTGTCAGTGACTCAGCGTTCAAAATGGAATTTTTCCTTTTTTCAGAAATGAATGAATAGTGGCTGTTTTTGTTGTTTTTGTGTAGAATTATTTAGAGCTCCAAAAATTATGAAAATTTTTGTGTGACGTCTCTGTGATGAATAATATTTAGGAAAAATATGAAATGTTGTTTTTCAGTACTTTTTGGATGTGATAAAAATTGCTCAATTAATTAATAAATGAGTTTCCATGATTTTCTAGGCTTATTTATGTATCCAAAAATTATGAAAATTGTTTTGCCACTTAGTTATCATGTGAAGAACATTTACAAAAATTTTGAGGTCAATTGGAACAAGTTAATTTATTTCATAATTTTTAATTAAATAATTAATTCATAAAAGCAAATAGTAATCTTTAGTGATTTAGGTTTTGTTTGAATTTTTGATTGAGTGATGTCCTTGGGTCATTAGTTAGTAAGGATTCTTGGCAATTGAATTAGGTGTACGAAAAGGTTTAGTTAGTTTGACTTGTAACTGTACCGCGAAGGAATGTTGTATTAAAGTTGTTAACTTTTGCATCCATCATCGAGCATCATATTTTGTATCTCGCATCATGTTAAACATGGTATTGTTACTACGTGTAGTGAACGAAGGTGAACTCGTGATAGTTAATCAAGAGGTTGAGGAGGTTAATCTGTCTGTTGAAGTCAGGTTGGATAATTGTGGTGCGACTCCTGAACCGGACTTTTCCGTCAACGAAGTCAAGCCCCGGATGTATTTAAACCTACCTTGTGTTTTACAAATTGATTTCGCTTTTGCTTTTCTTTACTGCATTAAGTGATTAAGAGTTAAGTGAAAACCTAATTGATGCATCACCAACCTTGTTTTTCTATATCTACCATATTACCAGTTTTAATTCGTATATGCCTAGTTATGCTTAGCTATGCTTAGAACGATGAAAGTCGGGTGATTACCTGTCACCTGCAAGTCTTAAATGGAACTTTGGTTACTCATGTTATCATGTGATATGAGCATGTGGAGTAATAAATCTAGACCGGGTGGACTCGGTGTGTGTGAGCCACAAGACATGGAGGTCTTGTGAGCGGGTTCTTTCCGTCTGTCTCGATTAAGGCTCGTACCGTTATTGAACTATGTGTAGTGAGACTTTGTAGTACTAACTACATACTCCGGTAAACCTTAACTTGGCTATTCTATTACGAGAATGACTACTCGCGCACTCGGAGTGGAGAGATGGCGGAAATAGCGTGTACCCACGTGGCATTGGGCTGGATTGGTGGAGTACTGTATTCTCGGGTGGCGCGGACCCCTTCTTGTTTTAGAGAATCTGAGGGTAGGTTGATATATGTAAGTCGGGGACCTACATATGTCGTGTGGTCTGGAATTCCCAGCTGAGTTTTTAATCGGTTCAAATCGTCGTTGCTCCTCGGTTATGGAGACCCACTTCTCTATTCATCATCGTAGATAAATAACTGGAACTTGAGGATGGTTTGTGAAGGTGTTGGTTATGAAGTTTCATGATCTCAATGTGGATCGTGTCAGCTTTGTATATGATCTTAAGAAGTTTTAAATGTTGATATAAGAATTTTGTTAAAAAGCTTTTACGCAAAAGAACTTTGATTATTGCTAAAGCCATACCTTGAATCCCCTGAGTCTACATTCCTACGTTCTATTAATTCTTATTTCGGTTAAGTCTTGTTGAGTACTTTTGTACTCAGGGTTCGTTGACCCTTGATGCAGGTGAGGCTCATGAGCAGATCTGTTTTGGATCGTGCTGCATGACTGTTGTTCCATGTGATGACGATAAGTAAATGTGTGGCCCTTGGGCAGGGCAATCCATTTGTGTGTTTTGTATTATATTATAATGCCACTCCACTACTTCGTTTTGTAATATTTATCGAACTTAGTTGTATGGTTTAAAACAAATGGTTTGTAAATTATGTTATTGTAAGTCTTCCGCTACTTTTACTCTGATGTATTTATATCTGAATAAACTGTTGTAATACTGCAATGACTCTGTAATGTGATCCTACTCGGAAATCGTGGATGATTCGGGGTTCCCCGAGGACACCCGACAGTCTTCTTAAGTTATCGAGAACATATGCATAGATGTCAAAGGTCGTTGGACAGTGACAGATGCATGTGGGCCCTATGATTTAGGAGGTTCTGCCACACTTATCCCCCTTTATTAAGTAGTAGGACCCATCCTTCAATCTATCCAACTCTCTTTTCTCTTTCCTCTTCCTTCTCGCCTGTGCAGAGCTTCGCGCTTGCCTACACGACATCCTAGCAGCGTGGCCGGCTCATGCCCTTGCCCGCGCGGGGAAGGCTGGCCACAGCCCCGACCCGACCTCGGCAACCATCAACCAGCGCCGTAGTTCATAGATGCTAGGACTCAACGTTGGTTGTGCGTCGAGGGGAAAAAAGGGTGGAGAAAATTCTCTAATTCTTCCTCTTCCTTTGACGGGTTGAGAAGAGTTTGGAGAAAAATTATAGAGAAAAGGGACTTAGAAGGGGATATGTTGAAGCTTGTTTTTTTCTACCAAATTCTTTTTATCACTGATTAAAGAAAAAGAAAATTGAGCTTTCTCAATCTGGTGGAGAATAATGCTCTATGCTTTTGGGCTGTCACGCTTGGGCTCAAACAAACCGGACAGGCTAGCGTCCGGATGGAGATAGCGTCTGGATGCCCGCGCCTACTGCACACGCCCGCACCCCCACGCTCCGCGTATGCATGCCGTTGCGCTCGCCTGCACCTGCTTCACATGGAGGCCCGCGCCGCTCCATTTCCCGCACATGTGCGCCCCACGCGGGGCCGTGTCTCGATCTACGCCCACCGTTTTCCACGCCTGCCGCTCGCGCCCCTCCACACCCACGCGTATGCACGCGAGCCCAGCAGCTGTAGCTGGCGACTGCGGCGCTGCAACATGTGCAACACCAAATCTACTTTTGCGACATCCAGATAAAACAATTGCAACATACGTCCAAAATAGTTGAAACACTTGCAACATACGCATGAAACACCAGAAAAACACGCATGTAGCCATTGCAAAACATATGCAACATCCAGATAAAACGCTTGCAATATATGTGTGAACACTTACGTGTATAGTCATGGCAATATATGCAACATTCACATGAAACACTTGCAACATGCATATGAAACAGCTTCAAAAAAACATGTATATGAAACACCTGAAACACACGCTTGCAACATGCGCTTTCAGTGCAATATCTTCTTGCTGCTCGGGCGAATTGAGGCTCATCAACGCGGAGCTCGACGCCGTCACGAAGGTCGATGCCACAAAGGTTGCCAGTGCGGAGCTCATCGGCGTCGCGGATCTCGGCAACGCAGAGCTCGCCAGCAACACGCGGCTTGCCGGCGGCAGCGCGCGCAGAGCTCAGCGACGACACGTGGATGTTGGCGGCGCGGAGCTCGCCAGCAACACATGGCTCCCGGTGCCAGCGCGCACGGAGCTTGCCCGCAGCACGCAGAGAGCGGGTAGGGTATGGCCATGGCACGCGCGGGGCAGGTGGCTACGCGAGTTCAAGACGGAGCGGAGATGCACAGGCTCCACAACATGCTTCCTCTCCCCGTTGCGAAGAGAGAGAGAGATGAGATAGAACCGGAGAGAATAAGTCTGACCACCTGACGGGAGTAAATATTTGTGTTTTGGAAAAAATACATGGACCATATGAGGCCACGTAGCGTCCGTAGTCTGGGCACGGGATGGACAACCGCGGTGGAGCATTAGCGCAAACAATACCAGCCGTTTGGGCTCTCGCGGCGTTACAAAGAATTGTGGTACAAATACATCCCAGTGGGGAAGGGTTGTACACTAGCAGAGTTCCACTACCTGTATCACCAATTAACGCTACGATATAGTTCCAATCTATTGTCAACCTCTGCAACTCACATGCATAGATTTCACAAAGGGGATGCTGGACTGAGCCAAAAAATGGCATGTCATCTAATCCATTTTTGAAATCAATCTTGCAGCTCCAAATGCATCCAAATGCCACGTGAGGCGTCAGTCACACGAAAGTTACAAGGGAGGCATCATGATCCTGATCCACTCCTTGCGACCCTTCGGAACATATCTTTGATGTTCTTGGATCCTACCTCTGTCTTTGGTTTCTTCGCTGGCCTCCCCTTGCTTGACTTGGCACCACCATTCGCAGTCTTACTCTGCATGGTCATCTTACAAGAGATTAGAGGTTATATGGGCACTACGATAAGCCAAGTGTTATCAAGGGGCTCACCTCAGAGGGGAGGGCAGGTGCCGGACAACTGTCCGCATAAAACGAAGCTTCACCAGTTTTGGTCGTCGCATCAACAGTGATCTCATTGATATCCAGCCTGCAACGAAATGGATTGTTTGGAGCTTGAGCATAGACAAGCAGAAACACATTTTATATATATATAAAAAAAAATCTAAGAGTGAAGAAGGAAATCTTACTGCAGCTTCTTGCATAGTAATGTTAACCATGGTTCGTCCTTCAGATATTCACGGATCATTTGGACAGCCTCCTTCACTGTAGAGGAAACAATAGAAACAGCCCTATCAGGACATTTGTGCGCACACATACATAATCAGGACACTAACAGCCTTTCATTCATATATCGGTTCGGAAAATTATGGTTGTACACTATTCTGCTTTCGTTGCTGGCACTACCAGGCTATACAACAAGTCTCCAAGAAACAATGGCAAAAACAAAGTAGAACAGCCTCATGCATAAATACAAGTTCCCTCACAAAAAAAATGGAAAAATTACAACAAGGTGTCTATTGTACCCCTTTTCCCCTTGAGATATGAAATTATGGTTTATCCTAGCACCAGGCACAAATTCCAAATTACCAAGCAATGCTAACCAAATATTGCTACCTTCAATCAAACAATTCTTCTATAATTCACTGTACACAAGTACCGGTTGGTGTAGTTTAAGGTATTTTAGCTTATTGTATAAGTAATGCACTGCGACATAAAGAATCAACAATTTGACCATAGAATTGAGTTGGCACTATTCAACAATTTGGTTAGATGCACATGTGTGATGTTAACAAACCCCCTTTTGAAAATATAAACAGCAAACAAGAATCTACATACTACCTACCACATTAAACTACCCAAGTACTATATACTGAATAAATGGAGATTAACACCGGCCATATTAAACTACCCAAGTATTATAGTGAATAAAATGAAGATTATCTAGGACACACATTGTTCTTTTTCTGTTTGGGCGGCATAATTTTTACCCAACTTGGGGAAGACCTCCTTTAGGTTGTATACCTGCAAGAGATTCAAAGATATATTGGTTGTACAGAAAGTGAGACGAAGTCAAATTAACATGATTTAGAATTTGCATACGTAAATGAATGCTGTGCACCTCTGTACAACAAAGATGGCTAAAGTACATAATGTATCTTTCAGGATTCACATACGTAATGTATCTTTCAGGATCATATTCAGAACAAAGTGAACTTAAAAGAATGCTGTTTCATTCATAATCCACATAACCAAAGAAATCTGACAAAGGGTCCAGAGTCAAGTATGATTCAGCATACTAGAAATCTTAATGCTGTGTTGAATGGTCACTTATATCCCTTAAAGAAAATGAGGTGAAAAAATAAAACAGGAAAAACATTTTAACTTATCAGAAAAATATATTTCTGTGTTATGTAAATCAGTACAACATGGATCACCTAGCTGCACAGAGAGTAAACAAAAGTAAGAACAGGAAAACACTACCTTGCAGCACAACCAAGATAAGACCTTGGAGTTGTCCAGCCTAAAGAACTTCATGTTAGATACTTCTGCAGCAAAAGTAATGTCCATGTGAAATCATTAGTTCTGTGAACTATTTCCCACAACAGAAATAAATCATAAAAAAATAAGGAACACAAGACGGAATGACAATCACAATGTAACTGAAATCATCAATTAATTCAATCAAGAAAATGACAAGCTGCCAGATCAGATATGCGGCAAGGAAGCTCTAGTGTTTATAATGTGGCAGCAGCTTGACGTGGTATATTATAGTGAAACATTTAAACATATACCTTTTACTTCACAAACCAATTCCATACGGTGACTAGCTACATTCATTAGCTGCTGGTATCCAGGATATCCCTCAACATATAATATTTCATCCAGTTGTCTGAATTTTCCTGGATCCTTCCCGTTCTGCGTGAATGGATGTTAGAGTAATAAGGTTTAGGTTAAACACAAACCATGTAACAGAAAAAGGAAAAGTCAATTGAGCATACCGACAAACGTGCAGCTTCGAAAGTTGGTAGGAAAATGAAGATAGGATCAACAGGGGTGCAATAATAGAGGCCACCATCTATAAGGGAGAGCATTGAATACTCAAGTGAGGTACTGAAGTAGAATGCAGTCTTATATGTCTTCAGAAATGTTTTGTTTCAAGCAGATTATACTACTCATCACTCGGAATGTAAATGTGCCATAGATGATACAAAAAAACTCATCTCGTTATCTTATTATATTCCTTTTTTAGAGAGAACTAAGCTAGTGAGCTTTAACAGGATGGTTTGAAGTGATAAGGAAGAAAACAGCGTGTGTGTCATGAAAATGGCTATTCATTGGCTACACAATGATAAGAGGCATGATTAACACAAAGTGGGGAAATATACACATTTCAGTGGTAACTGGAAACTGCATGGCTATTTCACTATTGTACATACCTTCACAAACATAATCCCCCAAGAACCAAGCACCATAACGCTCCTTAAACCAGTTGATCTCTTGAAGTTGACCATCAATAAATAGATACCCTGTTTCATCTCCTGGTTCATGACAAGACAAAGGTCAAGTTCAAGATGTTGACCGACTATTCACAAACGGCAAGAGGGCAATCACATTCCATAACAATCATCTCATATTTATCTAGATTTCTAGGTATGTATGCACACGTTCATTTTTGAAAGCAATGTACGCACAGGTTCATCACTTCACCTGATCTTGGATGTTGAAGTGACAGAACAGTCCCTTGACTGCTGGCATCAGAAGGGCCTGCAACGCGCAAAGAAATATGAATTGTGGGTCTGATTAAAACGCGGAGCTCCATTCATACAAAAAAAATTCTCCAATAGCCTGACATCCAGCAGATCCCCCCTCCCTCAAAATCAATCTTCAAACCCAAAGGCAACTTTAGTTAGGACTGCGCAATTTGAACAGACTTACAACCAGCTGGCGTTCAATTGGAGCTCAAGGTAACAAATGCATGCTGAGCACGTTCGTGGGAGAGAAAAAAAATCAAGGTAACAGAACTCAAAATCCGAAACCGCATAGTGCAACACAAACCTAAATGCGACAAATCCAGAACAGTAGAATCAGTTGATGGGCCTGTGCTCTACCCCAACACTCATCCCACAGCCAAAATCCCTAGTTAGGACTAAGCAGTAGGGCACAAACGGGAGGTCGAGGGTGTGGGTGGGTGCTCACGGTGAGAAATGAGGACGCGAGGCGGCGCCGCCAAGCTGTCGTGCCACGACGCCATCGCGGCGGCCGATTTGCCTCCTTCGACTTCGCCAGTGCTGCCGCTGCCGAAGGACATTGGGTCTGCTTAGGCTGGGGGCGGGAGGGGGAGGGGGGAGAGGGGATGGGGATGGGGCTGGAGCCGGGACCGGGAGGGCGCGCGCGGGAAGTCAGTGGGCGTAGACCTGCAGTCGTAGGGTTTTGCCGCCGCCGGAAGGGCGCCAGAGGCCAGAGCGCGATGCGGCTGCTTTACTCGGCTTCACCTTCGTTTCTTTCTCCGCAGCCGAGCAGGTGGTTTCGCGTACGAGGATCCCAGTTTGGCCCACGTACAGTCCAGCCCAAAATATGAGAGGCCTACCGCTTACGGGTTTTGTCCCACATGGAGTCCAGCCCATCCATTTAGCTGGACTGAAGATACGAGATGCGTTTCCGTTGTAAAAAAACATAAGCCTGTCTGCAGCCTAGTACTTTTGTACTTGGTTGTCAGAATTACGAATTCCAGTGATAAAAAAAATTCGAATTCCAAATGGAGTCGGAGTTCTTTAAAGAAGACCTTAATCATAAGATCTACACCATAATAAAATTAGAACCCTTAGCCAAGATGTAAAATCTCGCCAGTTTTTTTTTTAATACTACGCGTTTGCCTGGTCCCCGTGTGCTCATGGAGTCATGCCTAGAAAATTGGCTATTTGCCATTGCAAAGAATAGGCTTCGCAACTTTGCAAAGAATGACTGATGAATCATGGACAAACTTATGTGCATACATGAGGAGACTAGATCTGGTATGACCAAATATATCATCAAAGACTAAGTTTTCAACCCTCCGTTCAAATCAATCGGACCCGCTACAGGCCACGTAAGCATAGCGCTGGGCTCTCAAAACTCTCAACGTGGGCTGCAAGTATTGTGGTTCCTAGCCTGACCAGAAACATGCGTCGCTTTTGACACGCGAGATAGCGTAGGAACCAGAAGTGGTCCGGAGGATGGAGGCGCCCTTTGTCAGAAAGCGCGCTTCGATTGCTGCTTGCTCTTTCTGTCAGATGAAACCGTCGCTTCCTCTGCAGGTGGCTCTAACAATCTGCAAGACCACCATCGCCTGTGACATGGACTCTCGGTCACGATGTGGAGCGTTGGTGAAGCCCTCGGAGGAGATAAAGGACGGCGAAGGTGCATGCATCCACCGTGCCACGGCATAACGTCGCCATGCTTTCGTCTGCAGCTTATATATGGGCAAGCTATAGGCCTGTAGCCCCAAAGCATAAACGCTGATGGGTGGTGATACATTGACTTTATGATCTGGGATATATAATGATCAGTTGACGCATCCAGCTGTGCAGCACGAGCGCGGCGCGGCCGCCACTTAGGAGCGTCAGGATTGGCGCACGCCGTGACTGCGTGACCACGACTTGACACCCCTAACCCTAATGGTCGGTTTAGCCGCAGCGCACCACCCCGATGGCGAATTGGCGATGGCGACGGCGACGACAAGACTTTACAGTTGTTTACACTACTACAGCAGATTGTTGGTGGACGGAGCGCAGCACATAGGAAGGAGAAGGATGCATATATACGGTTTCTCGCATAATGATCGGTACGGTAGCTATCCTAGTGTGATTTTAGAAAGTAAATAAAATATTTAAAGCTACTAGCAGGGCAGTATATTCTGTCCTGCCCTGCATGATGAGGCGCACTACGTACGAGCTGAGCTTGAGTTTGGAAAAAGGGACTCACCGCCTCTCCTTGCTCCTTGCCCTCGTGGGTAAGCGGTGGATTAAGCCCCTGTTTAGATCCAGACGGTAAAGTTTTTGGGTGTCACATCGGATGTTATATATGGGTGTCGCTTGAGGTATTCGGATACTAATAAAAAATAAATTACAGAATCCGTCAGTAAACCACGAGACGAATTTATTAAGCCTAATTAACCTGTCATTAGCACATATGTTGCTGTAGCATTTTATTGTCAAATTATGGACTAATTAAGCTTAAAAGATTCGTCCCGCAAATTAGTCGCAAACTGTGCAATTAGTTATTTTTTTAGTCTATATTTAATACTCCATGCATGTGCCAAACATTTGATATAACAGAGCGTAAAGTTTTAGCGTGGGAACTAAACAAGGGCTAAGCCTTGATGGCGGATTCATCGGTATGGGGGCTCGAGCCCCCTACCGATACTAGAGCAAAGTGGAGCCCCCGAGCCTCTATGAATTTTTAGGTAAAGTTCTATCGTGTAGGTGGGAATTTGAGATTTAAGATCGAACAAAGAATCGGAGGTATGTTCTTTGTCGCACTTTTTGTTCGGCCCGTAATATTTTTCTTGGTCAGCCGCTAGCTAAGTGGCAGGGACATTGATTCCTACGTGACAGCATGCGTGCGTGCTGTGGGATCAATCATGCAGTCAAGTGGACCGTGCGTGTCGTCCTCATCCAGAGCATAATAAGCTAGGACGCTAATCACGCTCATTCGTCGACACATATTATTGTATATCTTCTCTCAAAAGGTTATATAAGCCAGCTGCAATGCAAGCATGATTAGATTTTTTTGGAGGACGTCACTTTGGTCTTTCCGGGAATGGAATTCGATTTGACGTCGGTCGCATCAGCTTGCACGATCGACCAACCACTAGAGGAGATCCAGAACATTACGAGCTATGTTTCTTTTTTTTTAATTATAGAAGTATACTTATTCATTTTTTTACATCATTTTCTTTTTCGAAAACCTCTTAACCATCCAACTCTTGCATGCACCTAGATAATAAATTATTAAATTGTATCAAATCTCACGTCCTTTCAAAAAAGAGAAAAAAAAATCTCGGTAGCTTAGGATTGGTGCTAGATTCTATCTTACCCATTACATGTATTATGCTCCCTAGTCACTAGTCATTTCTTCTTTAGCAAAGGTCCTTAAATATTTGAGCCAGGCCAAAGTAATAGAGCACCGAGATCGACAGGGACGGACGTGCAGTCGTGCTCGTGCACGGTGCACTTGACCTGGGTATCTGGAGTGCGGCTGCTGGTGTACGTCAACGTTACCAAAATGGTAACTGCAGACGTGGACATACACTTTACCCTCTGTTAATGGTCTCCTGCCAGAGATGGACGTGTTTCTTGATACACTTAAACCTCCTACTTAGCAATAACAAATTAACAAATCTCAATCAACATTTTTATCAATATTTCGTAATCTTATATTGAATATTTTTTACATTAAATATTTTAACTATAAAGTTTTCAATTTTGTCAAGCACTACAACTTTAATATAGAATATGTTTTCATCCGAGATTATTTTAAAAATTTAAAATTTTGAATCTCAAAATATATGAATTTAAAACAAATATTCGAGATATTGAAAAAAATCAATAAAAACTTATCAACAGCAGGTCGTCCACTAAAACTTTAGTATTATCTATATAAATATTCAAGGTCATTCGAAAATTATAAATTTAAATTTCAAAATCTATAAACTTGAAGCACATATTTGGGACTCTAAACAACTTTAAATAAAAAAAATCAACTACAAGGTTGTAGATTGTATTGAAAACTACTTTGCTATAAACCAAGTCGCAACCAAGTTTGTTTGAAAATTTTAAATTTCAAAATTTATGAACTTAAAACAATATTTTGAGACTCTAAACAGTTTCAAATCAAAACCTTATCTCCTACAAAGTTGTAGATCGTGTGTCATTACTGGTGAGACATAATTTTGATATAAAGTTGAGCTAAATTTCATCTTTGACTCTTATTTGTTTGTAGTTTATTCATCGGGCTTTGCTATAGTACGTAAGCATGACCGGTAGTAGACTGTCCGTTTAGATAAATCTGAATAGATATTATAAATATCTTGCAATTAGATCTATCAAACATGTACTACCTTCAGTTCATTTTATCTGGCGCACATGCATATCAAGATTCAAACTTTAAAAACTTTGACCATTAATTAGGCTAATAATTTTTAACTATTATAATACAAACTTTATATGATTAGATTTGTAAGGAATTATACTATCCACTGATTATAAATTTATAAGTATAAACAATATAATATAAAGCAAATAAATAGTTAAAGTGTAATTTAGGAGACCGTATCATTCTAGCTTACGTCGGATAAAATGGACCTGAGTGAGTATTATGTATGGATCCATACATAATCATACTCGGTACGTGTAACATTTTTTTATAGGGATGTGACATAAGTGACGGATCTCAATGTGCATAATTGATATAATGTTTGTTTTAGATGTGACATACTTGATGGATCCGAACGTGCATATATGTTGAAACATTTTTTTGGCCTTATTTAGATCGTAAATTTTTGCAATCTGGATACTGTAGCACGTTTCGTTTGTATTTGACAAACTTTGTCCGATCATGGACTAACTAGACTCAAAAGATTCGTCTCGTGATTTACAACCAAACTGTGTAATTAGTTATTTTTTTTACCTATATTTAATGCTCCATGCATGCGTCCAAAAATTGATGTGATGGAAAGAAAGTGAAAAAACTTGGAATTTTGAGGCAATCTAAACAAGGCGTCTTTTTGAAATGCGACACATTTACATGTGTAACATGTATACGTGATTAAGATGTGACTCTTACCCCATGTGATTATGTTTATACAGAACTAATAGTTACATGTGAGTCGTTGCATTATACATATGTAACTTTTTTAATGACATGTGATAGGTCCAATTTATCTATATGTTTAATAATATTATCGGGGTTATAACCCCGGGTGTCTCAAGGCACCAATTAGATAGCAGGCCACGCGGCCCGCAATACACCAGCTAGCGAAAGCCCAAACGACCGACGCCCAGTCAAGCCATGCAAGCCAGGCCGGACGATAAGGCCGAGGACAACCAGGACCCCTCCTTCCTGCCTTAGCCGCACGGCGCTGGAAGGGCGCACGACCTCTCCCCCGTCACGACCCCTGTAAGGAACGGAAAGAGGTCGATCACAGCCAAGCATGCATATTCTGACAAGAACAGACACGCCGCACTGACCCCGTAAGGAACAGTCACCTCGGTCCAGTTAGACGCCATTCCTATGCCACGCCGCATAGACAAGACAATACCGCCCAAAGCG